AACTCAATTGTAAAACTTACAAACGAAACTTCTAACAGAACCAAGCAGTAGGTGTATAAAAAAACTCTCGGTTTTTACATATTCGAAATACATATATCACGCTCATTTTCAGGATATGGAAACTTCTTTCCTCGCACAACCGCAGGACGAATTGTTTCTATGTTGTATGCGATAATTGGCATTCCGTTGGTGTTCACTATTCTGTGCGAATGGGGATTCCTTTATTTCACATGGATAGAATACGGGTGGAATTGGGTGAACGAAAGATTCTGCCAAAAGTCAGTTCCCATAGTAATTATTTTTGGTTTGGAAAAATGATGTTCTATATTTTAAAGGAGTCTTCAACGTCAAGTGGAGAAGCGTCATTTAAGAGAGAGGTATACTGGACTAGTGATTGATATTTATTGTTCTTTAATCCTCTAATGAAGGAATATACCAGAATTCGTCGAGTTGGCAGCGAGCTGTCATTGCATAGCATGGCACAGGTGCCGCTGTTGAGTGTACATAGAACTACGAGTAACCTAGTGAATACTACTGATCACCAGGTTTGTTAATGCTTCTAATTAAATGCGTTTGCGCTGTAAAATGCTGTTGATTGCTTATACAAGAATGATTCAAAAACAATCTCGCACAAAATACGTTTTCGATCAATGGACTGCACAAATTACTTCTCTTTTCAAACTCCCACTTCAAAAGCATTAAACTTTCTTCAAACATAACTACTTTCGGTAGATCTTAGTGATCAGCTCTTTCTATAAACATAACTACTTTCGCTAGTTATGTTTATAGAAAGAGTTGATCACTAAGATCACTGCAGTTATACGATGATTTGTTGTATGTGCAACAAATTGACACAAACCAATTATTATTGCCTACGGCCCCATATGTACCCAATAAATCACATTACCTGAAATATTAGCAGCGTTTAAATTTTAGCAGGTCAAAGTAAAAACATGTGCACTTTAATTAGTACTAGTGAAGTGTTTGTTCAGAGAATTTTCATAACACTTTCTTATATCCCTTTGACGACAACAACAACTTTACAGATTTATGTTTTAGCTTAAGGC